GATTGTTTGTGGAAAACCACAACCACTCTTCTAAGCACAAGCATTTGGGGTAGTAATACTTTTATTTTTCAAAGTCCCGTTAAATAAGTACATAGAAAGGTCAGTTACTAAAATTAAGCGAAGTACCACATGTTTTGTAAATATAACTCACATTTTCTATAGGGGACCATGTGAGCAAGCATAATTTAAATTTATGGTAATCTGAAATACATTTAGTAAATAGTCACATACTTGTCCTTCAGCAGACTTCAATGAGAGCAAAAGCTCTAGAGTTGCTGACAGTTCACAAAACTGTCTGCCTTTATTTCTATCCTTTTTTCAAAATATTCTATCGAAAGTACAAAAAAACAAACAAAACCCAGGACTTTGGAGCGGTGAACTGCCTGCCAGCCAGCTCGCGGCAGAGCCCATCACTGCGGGACTGATAGTCCCTGACAAGCTGTAGCAGTACAACCGATAAAACTTTTAATGGTGCTGAAAGCGGTGGGGCAGAGGCAGGAGCGGACGCACTGAAAGTTACAATCTCTCAGACTTCTGAGATGTTGGGGGATGAGTAATTACAAGAACCACGGAAGAGAATGACTGCTGCTGGGGGATAGCAATACGCTGGAGAAAGAATGAAAGGCTGAGGAAAATCAATCAGCAGCTTAAGGTGAGGTATGTAATCCACGGTTTCCATGGCAACTAATAAAAAAAAAATCTCCTACAGTTGCAAGACAGAAAAAACTGAGGACTTGGCCCTGGATTTAATTATAAGGATAGCACCGCTCCAGATAAGGTTGTGTTCACAACCCCAGCAAGTATTCTATTGAACAGTGAAACTGGGGCTAGTGACTTTAAAACCTGGGTACATAAAGCGGCATCACGTCCATCTGTTACAGTGAGGCAATATGAAGAATGCATAAGATGTGGGCGTTTGGCCCAGGTCTGCTTCACAGCGGCTCCGCTGAGTCGTTACAAGCAGCTCATGGCAACTTGCATGGACCCTGAATGTCTCGTCTGAAGGTAAGCTTGGTAGATTCCCCCACACCGTTTCTTGGTCTTTGTGGTAAGGGCTATCACATCAGTAAGGAAGATCAAGTGGTTCTCTCTACCCTCCTCCACCTTAGCCAAGATAGTAAATCAAAACAGTATCACAGGCATCAGTAAGATGGAGAGCTAAGAGGTCCCACTCAGCCCTCACCCCCACAAAACAATGATTTACCAATAATAAACAACACCAAACGAAATCGCTGTGGGACGGTGCTGGAGCTCAGTGAAGAAGCTGTAGCATCTCAGTGGACACAAAACCTGAGAATGGCCATTAGGAAAAGGAAGCGAGCGTTTGACCTGAGCCATCCCCTTCCCTGGGCCAGCACAGTCCAGTGACAAGAGGAGTCCTCCATATCGTGACTTCCCACCGGCAGGGGTCAAGAAGGACAGGGTGACCCCAGAAGCCCATGCTGCAATCGAGAGCCCCACAGCCTTCGCCACTGAGGCCTGCCACAGTCCTGGCCTACGTGGAGCCCAGCTGCCAGAGACAGCGGAGACCCTGCTGCTGTGCCTCAGGAGCTGGAGCCACTGTGTGCCCCCCAACCCAGCTGGCCCTGCTGAGGCCCTGAGGCCCTGAGCATACGCACCCTGGACCCAGCACCACCCATGCACACACATGCCACTTAGAGGAGGGAGCAAGAAAGGGACAGAAAGCTCACTTAGAGAAATAAACTTCCCAAGCCTGGAGAAGGGAATAGGCATCAAGATTGAAGAAGCCCATGGAGTGCACACAGGTTGAATGTAAGGAGGTGTAAATCAACACATATTCTAGTTAAATTATCAAAAGTCAAAGATAGCAGTAAGAGAAAAGCAATTTGTCACAATAAAGGGGACCCCCATAAGTTTATCAGTGGATTTCTCAGCAGAAACCCCACCAGGAGGGAGTGGAATGATTTATTCAAATTACTGAGAGAAAAACTACCAATAAAGAATACTATACCAGGCAAAGCTATTCTTAAAAAATGAAAAAAAAAAAAAGAGAAAGAGCAATAAAAGTCTTTCCCAAGCAAACAAAAACTAACGGAGTTCATCACCACCAGAGACCTACCTTAGAAAAACTGCTAAAAATATTTCTTCAAATTGAAACAAAAAAAAACAAAAACATGCTAAATAGCATCATGAAAGCATAACTCTCACTGGTAAAGGTAAATATGTACTCAAGTACATACACTGTAACAGTGGCATACAAAGTTCTTCAAACCCTAATATCAAAGTTAAAAGACAAAATATTAAAAATAACTATAATCACAAAAAATCATTAATGGATGTACAATATAAAAAGGAGTAAACTGCATATAAGTACTTAAAGGAGAGGGGAGTGAAAATGTAGAGTTTTTGTATGTGATTGAAGTTAAGTTGTCATCAACTTAAACAGGTATAACTACAAGATATTTTAAGTAAGCCTTGAGGTAACCACAAAGAAAAACCTATAATATACACAAAAGAAAAAGAATCAAAGCAAATCACTATCAAAAAAAAATCAAATAAGAAAGACAAGAACAAAACAACTTCAGAATAGACAGAAAACAACAAAATGGCAATAATAAGTCTTCACTTGTCAATAATTACTTTAAATGTAAACAGATTAAACTCCCACAATAAAAACACAGCATGGCTGAGCGGATTTTAAAAAAAGAGAGAGACAGAGAGAGCCTGCCATATGCTATATATAAGAGATTCACTTTAGATTTAAAGGCATACATAATAATAGAAATAACAAATGAATTTAGTAAAGTTCCAGTTTGCACAGCAAAAGAAAAGCAACAAATGAAAAGGCAACCTACATAACTGAAGAAAATATTTGCAAACCATATGTCAGATAAGAGGTTAATATCCAAAATATATAAAGAACTCATACAACTCAATAACAACAACAAAAAAACCAATCCAATTAAAAAATGGGCAGTAAAAGTATACAGGCACTTTTCCAAAGAAGACATCTAAATGGCCAAGAGGTACATGAGAAGACGCTCAACATCACTAATTATCAGAGAAATTCAAATCAAAGCACAGTGACAAATTACTTCATACCTGTTAGAATGGCTCTTATCAGACAAGATAGAATAAGGGTTGGTGAGGATGTGGAGGAAAAGGAAGGCTTATACAGGGCTGGTAGGAATGTTAATTGCTTCAGTCAGTATGGAAAACAGTATGGAATTCCCCCCAAAATTAAAAATAGAGCTACCATATGATCCAGCAATCCCACTTCTGAGTATATTTCCAAAGGATATGAAAACAGAATCTCAAAGAGATATCTGCACCCCCATTTTCTGCAGCATTATTCACAATAGCCAAGATATGGAACAACTTAGGTGTCTGTCAGTGGATGAATGAAGAAAGAAGAAAAGGCGCGCGCACACACACGCACGCACACACACACACACACGCACACACACACAATGGACTATTATTCAGTCATGAGAAAGAAGGAAATCCTGCCATTTGCAACAATATGGATGTACCCCGAGGACATTATGCTAAATGAAGAAAGTTAGACAGAGGGAGACAAATACTGTATGATCTCACTTATGTGTATAATTTGAAAAAGCCAAGCTGATAAAAAAACAAACAGTACAATGGTGGCTACCAGAGGCGGGGTGGGGGGGGCACAGAGGAATAGGAGATGTTTAAGGGAACAAACTTGCAACTAGTAGATCAATGTGCCCTAGAGAGCTAATGCACAGCATAGGGATTATAGTCCACAATACTCTATTATAAACTTCAAAGTTACTAAAGACTAAATCTTAATAGTTCTTACCATTAAAAAAAAAAAGGAATGATAATCATGTGACATGACACAGGAGTTAGCTAATGCTATGGTGGGAATCATATTGCAATATATAAATGTATCAGTAAACATGCTGTACATCTTAAACTTAACACGGTATTATATGTCAATTATATCTCAACGAAAAATAAAGTTTAATTTATAGGAAAAATGTTTTCATGTCCATCCTACCAAAAGTAATGCTACAGACTCAGTGCAATGCCTATCACAGTCTCAGTGGCATTCTTTACAGGAGTAGAAAAACAATAATAAAGTCATACAGAACCACAAAAGACCCCGAATAGCCAAAAGGACTTTGAAGAAGAACCCAAAAGCTGGAGGCATCTCACTTCCTGATTTGAAGCTACAGCCAGGTGCTGCTTAAGGGTGGGGACACGTTCTGAGAAATGTGTCCTCAGGTAGCCTCGCCATGGGGGGGCCATGAGAGAGGGCACTGACACACACCTGGGGAGCGCGGCCCACCACACACCTGGGCTGCGTTAGCTCGGCCACCCGGTGAGTTTGCTGTGGTTCTGCGGTGCTAACTAGTGGGGCTTTCACTGGTTCCTGGGCTCTTTTCTGCAGGGAACATCTCGACCGCCCTGAATCTACACCCGGGCTGTTCAGCCACGGTTCCGGGCTGAGCAGGCCTGACCCCATCTGCAGCAACCAGAGATCCCAAAACATACTGGACTTTTAGTTTTTGCCCACCTGGTATCCTTGAGATGTTACCCACAAGCAAAGGAGTTGCTTCAAGTAAGGCTTTCCGACGTCACGGAATCGACCCCTGGAGAACCTTGGCATTGCTCCTGAGATCACCACGCTAGGCACACACGCTTAATTTGATTGAAAAGGACTGTCCTGCTCTGTCCTCTGTCCTCCCAGCCCCTTAAGTCACCCGTTCCCGTCCCTTATCTCGTTCACTGATTCAACCACACTGGCCCATGTCCATTCTCAGACACCCCCAAACCGCTGCCAGCAGGCAGCATGTTGTTGAAGGGGGGCTTCCCTCCCCTCGTTCCATTTTTTAAACGAATTTCAAGTTCTAGATACATCCTATACTTGTTGCTTTGGAAAGACGTATTATCTTAACCGTGTCAGGGCTCACTGCAGATATCTGGATTTCAATGTCTGAACGAGGACATGTCACCCTGGTGACAGCGTGCTGCTTATGGAGGAAGCACCCCCCCCCCTTTCTCACCTCTGAGTCACACGGCGGCACGTGCATGTCACCCCGTGCGGCGTCTCCTACGTCATCGCTGAAAACGACGCTGTGGAAACGCCGGCGGACGAAGCTGGTTGCGGCCTCGTCCTCCTCGATCAGGGTTGTGTGTAGCTGCGCTTGCGGCCGGGCGAGGCCTTTCAGTAGTACATAAACTCCGTCACTTCCAACCACTGAAACAAAACAAAACCCAGAGATGCACCGCGTCCCGCGCAGGCCCTCCGACGGGGACGTGTGCGGCCCACGCCCCACGCGCGGCGTCTAAAGGGTCCTTGCCCTTGGGACACTGACGACGCTCACGTGGCCCGGAGGCACCCCCGAGTCACGTCCCCCACACGCAGGGCCTTTTCTGACGGTGTCATCCTAAGCAGCCCTCTTACGGAGCCGGCAGGGGCTGGGACCACCGTAACACGGCACGACACAGCGTTCAGACGGTCTGAGGAGAACGGGCCAAGAAAGTCACCGGACGTTTCAAAACGTGGACCTTCCCCTGAGAAATGCCACGTCGCCTGCTTCACACGAGTAACAACATCCGCCTGCTGCTGACGACCCGGAACCCCGCGAAGAGGGAGGTCACGCAGAGGTCGCACGCTCTCCCCTACGACTGACACGCGGCAGCCCTCGCGCCTGTCGGCCGCGCGCCTGGAGGGCGGGCCTGTGCCCTGGGCGGCGCTGCGAGCGCTGCTAAAGCACCTCCGGTTCTCCTGAGGCCCGTGCAGCAGGGCAGGCGCGGGCGCGGGGTGCACGCTCCCCACTTCCCAGCTCCTACAAGGGCTGGAGCCAGGGAGTCCAGTGATGTGGGAAGATCTTTGCTTGCACCCTCCTGATGAACCTGCTAGAGAAGCTTTACCGATTGATTTTCAGGGACACTTGTGTTTCTTTTTATGCCGAGTGATGCCAACCGCTTGCCTTCTGTGCTTTCTTCTGAATTGCGTGCACATCAGTGGGACTGTCTGGTCGCGGTCTGTCCACGGTGACCACAGGAGCGTGATCTGCAGTTTTCTCTAAGGCAATGGTTGTGTTTGCTTGGATGCCTGAGCTTCGAAATAGATTCCTTTCTGGGTAACACAATATCATTCCTTACTAAACATGGAATGTGTGTGGCAAGGGCACTTCAGAAATATTACTTTTTAATATCTATCGGGTAGGCCGGATGAGAACTACACTGTCGTCAGTACATTGTAAAGGTAAAAGATAATACAGTTATGTAAGGGAAGTAAGGATTTTGACCAGTTACAAGAATGTACTAGAATGTTACTAGCAGCTTTGACATGACAGCTAAAAGCTGGAAGCAGCCCAGATGTCCATACACAGAAGAAAATGTACACAATTTCTGGTGTGCGCATGCAATGGAATACTACTCGGCCATAAAAATGAATAAACCATTGATTCCTGTGACATGAATGAATCCCGAAAATGTTAACGCTGATTGAAAGAAGACTTTCACAAAAGTACATATTGTTTGATTTCATTATAAAGTTCCAAACACGTCACACCAAACTGATTTATACTGGAAAAGGGAAAAAAAGAAAAAAAACACAGAAGAGCAGTTGCCTCTGGCGGGCGGGCCACAGAGGGACCGGGAAGCACGGAGAGAAATTCCTGAGGTGACAGTGAAGATCTATATCTTGATAGGGGTTTGGGTTACAGTATTTGTCAAAACTCATCAAGCAATACACTTCAGGTACAAATATGCACAGTATTGTATGAAATTTTGCCTTAAAAATATAAAGGACCAGAAACAACTACAGAATGCTAGGTAAAACTGAAGTGTTTAGGGTGAAATGACCTCATGCTATGGTGATCCAATAGAATGGAATGCGATGCAAACATAGTGGGGAAAACTGCAGGCAAAAATATGCAACTACAAGATGACAGCAAACGTGTTTGTCCTCTGTTTCTTGAGCCAGACCCTGTTCCAAACACACTGCATGTATGAACGTTTTGTGTCCTCGTAGCAATCCTACGAGTCAGATACTATGATGGCCCCCCTATTATAACTGTGCAAACTGAAGGCACTGAGAAATTTAACGCCCCGCCCTTGCTCAGGGACCCAGGAGCAGGAAACATAACCCATGGCAGCTCCCTTACTAGGCCAGTCTTTGGAAGTCAATGTCGCATTGCATTCTCTCTCTCTCTTTCTCTATCTCCCCCTTTCTCTTGCTCTCAAAATATAATTGGTAGTAATATGGTTTCAATTATGGAAAAGTAACACTATATGTGTGACCTAGACATATATGTTTCATTTTAAGTTGAAAGAAAGCCCATTTCAAGGTGATATATGTTAGTTTAAAATGTTAAAAAATAATCAATATATGTGTACCTATGAATACATGTTTATGGCATAAATATTATATAACAAAAACAAGTCTAGAAAGGGATTTGATTGTATAGTTGTCTCTAAGAAAATGGAGTGTAATTTAAATAGAGCTCATCAAAAAGGATAGTGTTAATTATTGAGCAAAATAATAATGCTTGATTAGAATGGCAACTCTATTTTCCTTAGGTTTTCTCCATAAGGTTAATGTCTTAGATCTTAGTAAGTGTGTTGATAGAGTATCCCTTAAAAAAAAATGCTCATAAGGAAAAAGCATTTCTACAGATTTCCAAAAATGGAAGCACAGCTGTTCCTTTCCCCAAATGTGCTACACTTGCCATGGAGAACAATTATCACAGACTGAGCATCAATTGTTTGCCATGAACTGTGCCAGGTGCTCTAACACGAATTATTTTAATAATCACGAATGTCATCTATCATTAGTCCATTTTTCAAGTGAAGAAAGGTTCAGAATAATTAAGTAACATCAAAAGTCACAAAGTATATTAACTTCTGAAGGTTTTCAAATATATTTCACTACCTGAAGGATATACACAAACTTGCAAACCCACAAAAACACATACACATATAGGAGAGTGTGTGCAGTATGTTATAGGTGTATGTATGCATGTTATATGTGTATATGTATATACAAGAGATGTTTATATGTATATATATACATATACATAGAAGACCGTTTTATAAATTTTATATAGGTTCTCAATGAGGATTGAAAGAATTCTAACTATTTTGTTACAAAATTTAGTTCAGACATTAACTGTGAATTATTTCCTGAAATTAATGTAGCTGGTTTATGTATGAATCTATCAAAATTAGTTTGGTAAAGATTTGAAAATAGATGAATTTAAAAGAACTTTCAAGAATATATGCAGAATGAGATGAACTTTGGGGTGACATCTTTATACAAGTACTAGGGGAGAAAAAAAGAAAATCCTCATTCGAACAAAAAAAATGACACAAATTCTGTTAAAAATGAAGAATCAAGAAAAAAGCATGTGATACAACAGAACAATTTGCTGAAAATTCTCAGATAGAACTCATGCAATACCTGAAAGTAGCTCTCAAATATACGGACAAATGATATAAACACCATAAAAACTGTCTAGAAAAAGACTGCAATGGAGTTAAGCTCCCAGATAACAATTGAAATATTCCTTATAAATCACAAAGTGGTATTAAATTTATGAATTGTGACAAAAAAGATATTTATTAATGCAAGATAAGAATAAGCTTTTGAAGTCACACAATGGGAAGGAACATATAGATTTCTCATTCAAATTTTCAAAATACACAAAATTATTTCACGTAATTTTTAGGATTAAAAAAAAATTCCAAGCATCAAAGAAAAAAATTGAGTATAAGAATTAAAAAGATATTAAAGTGGATCAAAATGGCATTAAATATTTATTCCCAGACTTTGAAAAAGTAAAGGAATTCAATAAAAATCAAGTTGGCTAGGAGTAAGTTTCCTAAAATTATTTATCTAGCCAACTCCATGACATGAAAAGGCAAAAGAAATATTTTCATAGATCTTGAAGAAATTTGTTGTTCAGGACCTCATTATTTAAAAATATCTCTTGGATTAGTTGAACAGTATACATTCCGAATGAATTAAGAATACTAATAATGAAAAATTTAATTAATCACTTTGATTGTGACTTTTCAAAAGGTTAAAAGCCAAACACAAAGTTTGATTAAAGCAGATGTTTGTGAATTCTTTGCTAAGGATCTCTCACCCTGAAACACAGAGCCTGCAGCTGTAAGCGACCATTCTAAGCAGATCTAAATGTTTCCAAGAGCTACAGCTGGATGAATACAGTCATAGCATCACCTGGTTAATTCTTACTTGGCCTATAGAGTTGAGTGTGGGTGTCACCTGACTACCAGGGAAGCCCTTCCCAGCTGACCCACCGACTCCGCCCTCTAAATCCCACTCTCCCCTGGGGTCTCCTCACAGCCTTCTGTCCCGCTCTGCGTTTCCAGCCTCTGCCAGTGGACGGCATTTGTGGAAGGTAAGGACAAGGACCTCTGACTTCGCTCTCAGTATTTCCAGCCCACAGCACATCACCTGAATGATTTTAGGCAGTTAGCAAATACCTGAATGAATGAAAGCTTAATTAATGACCCTCTACTGTATTTCTCTCCAAAGAATCTTATAAAATATTTGGGGAACACCTCTTTTTTTTTTTCCTTAGAATTCCATCCTTTGAGAAATGAGATAAAACACCTTGATGGCCCATTTTCTTCTCAGACCATTAGTGGGATGCTTAGGAAAATATCGGAAAGTTATGAATTTGAAGCCAGGTGGTTTAATTCAATCTCCACTCTAAGGCCTAAACGGTCCCAGAGATCACATAATAAAATCAATGAATGGCCTTTTCATAGCTTTTATGATCTTTGTAGATTAGGTTTTGTTCTTAGGGACAATTTTTCCTCTCTTTAGGTGCCAGGAGTAGTTATTTTAAGGCACAAATCTGATAACCTTATTTAGGTTATTTCTATAACTTGTGGAAGGTAAGGTACAAGTAAAACTGGATATTTAAGATTTTTTTTAAAAGAATCAATAAATGTTATCATAGAGCTAACTAGAAGGGATGAAAAGAAATGCAACTTATTTTGGGCTCAGATCTTCCATTGGAATTGCCTCTCAATGTTAATACTTCCTATCAAATATTTTTAAAACTTTCATAAAGGGAAAATTTATAGCTTTATAAATTGTTAGTGATTATTTTAATAACCTTAAAACATATTATTTCTTAATTTTTTACTTAGTCTTTCTTACTAAGAGAAAACATTAAGAAAATTTCTTATTTCAAAAACACTTGCTCATATCCA